CCCCTTCCCTTGGGTTGATTCCCGGGGAAAGGGCCCGGGAATAGAGTGGGCACCCATGTAGGGGCCCATAAACCCCCCCCTTCCCCCCCAAAAAAGGGGATGGGCCCGGGGTAAGGGTTCGCCATTTTTTTTTGGGGGGGGGGGGGGGGGGGGGCATGTATCATCGAGAACGTCACCTGAATCTCTTCTTGGTGTACATACAAGGGAAGGCTGAAGGCTGCTGCACAACACTACGGCCATGAGTTTTCGTGCACGTGGCAAAAAATAATCCAGCGACGACGTTGCCGTCTCTTGTAAACACGTTTTGCGGTTGGTCTTTGTCCTGGTTGGGCTGTCTCTCTTCCCCGTCACTGCGTCGGAATCTCTGCACGTCATCCGAACCCGTGCTTCCTATCGACAGCGATCTCCCACAAAAAAGGGAGCTGACAACAAAAGCCTGCACCATCCCAAACACCAAACCCGGTAAAAAAAAAAAAAACACACACACACACACCCGGCCGCAAACACAAAACCAACCATCTGAGAAGCAACCAAATGAAAACCTCAACACATCTCCTTCGACTGCTGTGGTGCTATCTAAAACGGGTACTATAGAATGTAATCCTTGGATTGCATGGATTGCATGTATATTTTCTAAAATCTCCAGCCCAACAGCCCCCACTCCACCCTCCATGCGACTCGCCGAATACTTCACGGCGTTTTCTCGCTTGGTGATGTGAGAGCCGGGTCCCGGGAAAAACCCCCCCCCCTTCGGGGGTAAACGGTTTTTGGATTATTCCTTTCCCCGTTAGGGGTCCCCCCCCCCCCCCCCGGGTCTACCAGTCGTAGGAGAGAGGAAGAGGAGGATAGACGCACATGTCCATGTGGCAAATCGGAGGAGAGTAGACCCCACATAGTTGGGGAGTGTGAGTTGTACAGGAAGGAAAAAGAGGATCTCGAGGAGGAAATGAGACAGAGAGGGTGTGACATGGACAAGTTTGGTAAATTAGACAACAGCGAAAAAACGATCGCGATAATTGGGGATAGATGGTGGGCACAAGAGGCCCTAGAGGACGGGGATAACATGTGCAAGAAAGTTTTATGTAGTTTGTGGCAGAAACGCAAAGAGCTCCCAAATGTTGGTGGTGTCTCTAGTAGGGGTAGGAACGGTGCTCCGTCTCGAAAGGGACGCGTGGTCAATGGTCAAATGACTAAGGCAAGCAACAAATGAGTACGCCCCCCCCCCGGGTCGGGGGCAAACCCACCGCACCTCGTCCAGTGGCCGGGCGCCTTGTAGTCTTTGCGGTACTTGGGAGCAGGAGCCGTGGGCGCTTCGGCCATCGAAGCCGTTGACGCCGACAACGAAGTAGCCACCACCATACCCGTCCCAGCGGCGGCCCTCGCTGCCGCACCCCCCCGAACCTGCAAGGACAGTGAGCGACACAGAGAGTTATTCGCGCCGACGTCGTTGCGGGTACAGGCGGACGGCGAGACGTATGTATGTAAGGGTAGAAACGCGAAGAGCTCTCAAAAAGACGGAGCTGGAAGCTTGTGCAAATTTACAGCAACAGAGTGGTTACGCGGCGTGCGGTTGTTTGTGATGAGTAGAATGGATGGGTGACAGCAGTCGGCCCCAGGAGATTCGTCCCGCCCCCCCGACGGTGTTTGGCAAGAAGAGTATTTGACAAAACAAAATCCCATGCTACCATACATCAACGACGTCGGAGGACTTTCAAGGGAATTTGTGACTCTGGTAATAGCTGGCTCCTGGCAGGCCTTTCGGGCAGGTCTTTTCGCAAGCGCATCTCAAACGATTTCGGAATTTGGCTCATGTACCGGTAGGATGGGTTTGTGGTCCAGGAAGCAAAGAGAGACACACAAACATGTGCCAGTACAACACGTGTATCCTGTGAACGCTACAAGGGGGTAGACTGGTGGGCCATCGGCGGATCAAGCAACAACACGGGTGCTGTGAATGCATCAGGACACACGCCCTTCCGTACTGCACGTGCGAAACTACTCAACCCCTCACCCTCCAAATCACGGTGGTACAAAGCAGCGCTGCCTCGCCTGTGCTCTGCCCCGGCGGTTTGCAAGCAGCGCCATGAATGCCAAGGTCGAAATCAAGAAACAATTCTACACTCCAAACAACCGTGCAAGATCAAGAGTTGTTCAGCCCCCGTTACCCCCCCCCCCCCGACTCCCGCTTACTTACCCTAAGGCCTCCCCCAGCGGAAACCCAGCGCGTCTTCGGCGACAGTCTCGCGGCCGCAGATGTCGACATAGCGGGCCCTCTAGACGCGGCGGCGGCGCGCGGGGTGGTCCAGAAGGCGGCTCGACGCATCGTCAGGGAGGAGGTCGAGGAGGCTAGCGCAGATATCCCAGCCGCGCACGGCATCCTAAAAACGCGCGGGTGGGGCGAGGAGGGTTGGTTGGCCTGGTTGTTCGTTCGTGTCCAACTGTAGTGCGGCAGGAGGTGGTCTTCGTAGCTGCATGGGCACGCTGTCTAAATAGGGCAGAGACTGCGATTGTAGCATCGGTAGTTCCCGCATCGCTCCACCCAAGGGTCACTCATCTAAAATAGGTGGAGACTGAAAGAGCACCGGTAGTAGGAGTTCCATCACCGTTGCTGTACCCAAGGGTACCTGCCGATGCTCGCGTAATTGTGTACTTTTCGCGCGGTTGTCAAATCTCTGACGACTTTTTTTCGTCGGTTTTGAGGGCCAAGTTTCCTTCTTCTGCGCGTCAGTTCTTGCACGAGACCAGCGTAGCTCACGCATGTTGGTAAAAAACAAAACGTCATGTGCATACATACGCACAGAGATAAGGTGCAAAGTCGCTAGGGGATGACCGCGAGAAAACGGCCCGGCCCTCCACGCGTTGTCGGTGTTCGTATCGATGAATCAGTGCCGGAACGCTAGTCGAGCGGTTTTTGGAGGCCGGCGGTGGGGGGGAATAGTACCAATAGGCCCTCCGTGTGGCAAGCATCGAACAGCGCAGGCTGGTGTCGTGAAAAAGTCGTGAAAAAGTCAACCCGAGCTGATGTTAGGGTTGACTTACTTGGGTGTCAAATGTCTAGCCACGTTAACGCACGTAAGCACATCAAGACAGAGTTTCAAAACGCTCTTTTGCTGTTCCTCACCTACCAAGCGACGAGTAACTTATCCGACAAGTTGTAATAGCGTTGTGTAGAAAAACTACTGTTGCTAGGTGCCGTGTGTGCGAGTTGGTTCTGGATGCTGGGGAGGACTATGTTTGTTCAATCGAGGAAGAATGCCGCGTGGTGGCTTTCACGACAACCTACTTGAAATTACTCTGGGCGTGGACTACCCGCGCGTGAGGACCAAACTCGCGAAATGCTTGAACGCGTCTTGTGCGTTTGTTGGCAAGCAACATAGAGTTGGCATAGAGGTAGCTTGGCATCGATATCGATTCCACGGCGACGCATACGCCAACAGCAGTAGCGCCGATTGTCGATTTTTTCCGATGCTCACACCGGTGGCCGATATTCCGATTATCGATCGATCAATCCTGGTCTTGGTCAATCACCGCAAGGCGACACAAGATTTGCACACGCGTACACCAGTGCGGTGGGGGGGGGGCGCGCCGTAGGTATCAATTGAGGGACCCCGTGTATTCGATATTATAAATAACCGCCGATTGTGATGTCGATTCAGCCGTGTCTCAAAACATAAACATGTTGTGTGGGTGGTGGACAATTCACCAGGGGGGGGGAGCGTTTCCGCGCTTGCGTGGGTCATTCGACCGCCGGCCAATTGTAACCTTCAAGACGATGCTATTACATGTAGCGTTGTGTCGTGCTGCGGATGTAGTCCTATTTATTAGGGACCGCCAACACCCGGCCGGTGATTGGTTTGTTTATCATCTGGTTCTGGCAGGGCTTGCTGAATACCACTGAATACCTACCAACCAGAGGGCGGCTGCTGCAGACCCGTTCCGCAAGACCGCAACGTCTTCACGGGACCCATCGCACAAGAGCAGATGATACCTTGTAGTTGGGCTCTGGATACAGCTTCCGGCTACATATGCATAGGATTGCTTGGTCCTGCTGTTGATTAGCGACGAAGTACACATGATAGCATCATACGCATATGTAGCAGATAATCCGCCGTCGGAAGGATCCACCCCTGAATGGCTGATATCAAGACATACACCAAAAACGTGTAACCTACAACCAGCTAATGCGATTGCCGCGGCGAATGCCATGGTCCTCGGTGCCTCGACAGACTTCCGCCGAGTCAGTGAGATCTTCTCGCAGCAGTTCATGCCGCGACGCATCAACACCAAGCACCCTCTCTGCTGTTTAGTCTACCCTGCCCAAAAGTGATTGATTTGGGTGTATCATACGGTCTGGGTAAAGGCAGCCTCATGCTGGGCCCTTCAGCGGTTACAGTTTGTGGTTCGCCGTTGATAGATTCCGCTGGTAAGGATATTCAATACAGGCGTTGCGATCTTCCATGTGTGAAAGACAGCGTGCGCGTGTGGTCGACCACCGCTACAGCAGTATCGAGTCACAGCACGCGCCGCAATACAGCCTTCCAAGGGCAACCATGTGCAAAAAAAAAAAGATAAGTTATATCCTCCCGAAGATGCAACACTGGCAGATGAGGCAGAGCACGCGCACCGCATTCCCCTGCAGCAATGCAGCATTTCGAAGACACCGACAGCTCTTCACAATCGAAGGACGCTGAGCGTGGCTAACGAGACTCACCAAGCATGCACGTGTCTACAGCAAAGCCGCAGGCATGCAATGCATACGCAGCACACACACACACCTCGTTGGCTTCCTCGTCAGAGACGAAGGGGCCGTCCTGACGAGCGTCGGGAGCAGAGCCGATGAGCCCATACGGGCCGCAAACGCGTGCATGGGTTGGGGCGAGAGAGCTCCTATCAGAGCGAACAGTGCCGTCGCTGACTTTGTCTCCATCATCAGGCGGTCGTGTGCGGGCTCCGCAGCACTCCGTGGCAAAGAATATGACTCTTCAAATCTCACCTGGGGGGTGTCGTGATTCATACCGATTGGACCGTAGGTACCACACCAGCCCCCCGCGCGTTGCCGGTTGCTGCGCCGGGACGCTGTGCACGTGGCCCACTCACTGCTGGCTGTGTGCTTGATCTCTCTTTCCTCGGCTGGGCATCCCACATCAGCGAGCATGGTGAGTGATGGCTTCGGTATAAGTGCTGCAGTTGTGAACTCAGCAACAAATGTTTCAAGCTAAAAATAGTAGGGGGTGCCGTAGCCGCGGCGCACGGCCAACATCAATGAAACGAAACAGCGAAAAACAGCGTGTTGTTGCTTGTGTCTTGTACATAATGAGGTGTGTTAGAAGTCTCGTGATTACTTTGGAGCTGAAGGCTCTTACACCGCCACGCGATACATCCCGCCCAACCGAACACATGATAAAGTGCAGCATGTCTTAGTTAGAGTTGTTTCTTCCCTTGCCATCTCGCGGCTGGTCCGCTGTCGTTGCGTCGTCCAAGTTGCGCCTTTCGTGCGGTTCATATCTTCCGGCACTGCTGCTCCGGCCAGGCTGTAGCATAACATCATTCGACCGAGCAGCAGCAGCGGCACTACGGACCACCCTCGTCTTACGGGTGCTCGGTGCTTATCAGAGGTCGTTTTCGAATACACGAGATACAGCAGGAGTCCCTCAACACTCAACACTGAACACTGAACACATGATGGCGGTCTGTACAACCGTTTTGCTGCTGCCCCGATGCCCCCCAGAACCTCCACCCTCCACCTGTATCTAGACTAACTTGGTTGTGCTCGTATCCCCGCTGTTATTAACTCTTGCCACTGCTGCTGCTGCAGGATTTCAAGGGGCAACTGCTGGCAGAGAACCTCTATTTTTACATCGTTATTTTGCTGGGGGTGAGTGAGATAGAGTTTTGATAGGAAAGTAAGCGGGTCGACATGATACTCGTATCCACTGCTGTATTCCTGTGTACGGCATCAAAGAAGTGCCAGCCACTTGACGCACATATTTTTGCTCTATTGGTGAGAGTCGAGAGTCGAGGGAAGTTGGATCGACAAGTCTTTTTGCATGGAGTGCCCGCGGCACTAATAGTACCCGCGAAAACACGTGTGTCTCTGAGTGTCGTGCTTTCTTGTTTCGTGCACGATGGCTGCTCGAGGGGTTCAGGAGCCGGGCGGGGCAAGAGAGCTCCGTATGTGAAAACAACAGGAAGCGACGACGGCTTCTCCCGCCGACACGTGTCGTCTTATCTTAAGAACGTACTTGTAAACATAACGTCACAGAAAGACTACCCGTTGGGGGTATATCCTCAGTCGAAATGGATGTGGGAGTATTTTATCCTCATCGAAATCGCTGGCTCTTTGCATGAGACGCGTGCATGGCCACGATACCTCGTGTGCTCAATCAAGGCTGCCGATTTTATGCCCCCGTCCTGGGCGTTTCTGTGGCTGCTTCGGTCCTGTTCGATTTGCTCACAGCATAAAACATTTGCTCCCCTACGTATTGGTGTAGGCATTACCTCGCCGGACGGTTTAAGATTCCGCATCTCGACAAATCAGCCATCGAGCATTTAAAAGGGTACTCAGTAGGCTTCCCCCAACGCACTCCTCGGCATCGCTGCATTATGTTCCCCTTTGTCCTTCACTCACCATGACCCTCTTATCTGCACCGTGGGACTGGTTCGTCTTTGTCTTGTCTCGTCAGGCTGTGGGGTGGGTCGTCGGTTTCGTCATGGGAGATTTCATGTACACGCTCGCGGGATGGGGGGCCGGGATGGCGCTGTCTATGATTGTGAGTTAATCCGCACACCAACGGCACGTGGTCGCGTGCGCGTTGGGCAGCCTCTCAAAATCGTCCGCCAAAATTTCTCGGCGAGATAGGGTCGGTTGAGGCCCTTCAGTCTGAAAAAGTTGGGATTTGTTTGCTGGTGCTGATGGGGCTGTTGTCGACTCTTGGTTCGGTTGTCTTTCCCTGCCGTAGTCTGAGCACCGTTGCGTTTCTGCAAAAGGACGGATGGCAAACTGCACTCTGCTCGGCTCAGGCTGCTACGTGTTATTTGATGAAATATCTGTTTGGGATAGCGAAGAGTTCGGGCGCTCGATTGAACGGGGTGCTGGTTGACTCCACTCACTGAAAAGACCTTCACCACATCCCGTTCGACTGTGGGTTTATCTCGAACGGGTAGTCTTTCTGTGGGTGTATTTATTTTTTCTAATAATAACTGTTGTCTCTACAGTAAATCTAAGAGGAAAATTTCGAAGACGACCTGCCGACTCAGCGAGTCCCGATCTCAGAACAATATTCGAGTAGAGGGCATCATGGACCCGCGACGTTCCCGCTACTCTATTTACCGTCAACTGATGTATTCTAACACCTAAGATTACGACTGTCAAATACGCCTTTTTTTTGTCACTCTCTCTGAGCGTTGGACTTTCTTGTCTTGGTTTGAGAAAGATGTGTATGGAGGTAGACTGCGTGTATGTTCTGGCGGAATGTCCCAACTGGTGTTGTGTCTCTCTTTCCGGTATTTTCGATTTTTGCTCAAGAGTGAAGATCGACCTTAACCTTGTTGACCACGACGCTTCGTGCGGACGTCACTTGAGCACGTTGTTGTGTCTTGCTCGGCACTTTAGGGACCGAATCCAACAATCCTTACCTCCGCTCCTGTTCGCACGCACGGTACCTATTTGAATCCCTGTTTGGGGGTGTGTTGGATGTTGGAGCCACGCAGCACTACTGATTGTCTTTCTGCAGACGGTGTGCAGGGGCGTGCTTGCTTCCCGTCTTTGTTGCCACTTGTTTTATGCGACTCGTGATTGTGACCTGTCCCGCCTTTATGTTGGCTCACCCAACACATTGTATCTGTGTCGCCTGTCTTCCGTGCTGCTCTCGTCTTGCTTCGATCAGCTTGTGGTGCCAGACTGGCCGATGTTCAACCGTAACCCAACCAAGTGGTTGGACCGGTTGCCTCCGAGGGAAGGGGTCATGCCCGTAGGAGCAGCAGCAGAGGACGAGGAGTAACCTTTTTGTGGTTGATTGTATTTTTGAGTGACCAACTTCTGAACGCAGGCAGCTTGGGTGGCGGGGCTTTCAGAAGTGGAGACTGAGGGCGGCGCGAGGGTCTATGCTGCTATGAAACGAACCGCAGGCGTGAAGCCCTCTCTTTGTACGTGTAAACCATCCATCAAACTCTAGGAACGCCATGGGTGAAGTGGGGGCCCATTTCGTCGAATTTCCAAACAAGGCGGCCACAAATCGATCGTGGCTTGCATTCGGCTGCCCCCTCCTCCAGCATGGGAGTGGTGGGCCGTCGGCATAGACGGGAAAACGTCGAGGCAATACCGCGCGAGCATACCGCATTTTGTCTGTAACGGTTCCCCACAAGTTTTGGTCTATATAACGCCTTGCTTGGTCTAGGTGCGAACTGTCGACAATACATGAGCACGCTCTCCGTGTGGTCGGCGGAGAGCAGAATCGAGCTGACTTCGGACGTCGTGATTCGGAGGCGCGGGTTCGCTGCGCAAATGACGAAATGACTGTGGGGGGGGACAACTAGAGGCCCTGTTAGTTTCGTCAATATGGAAAAGGTGGGGCATGGCCGTAACACATTCTTCCTTTTTTTGTACCGAACACGCTCTTACTTCCCTTGTATTGCATTGTCTAAACGGACACACGCGAAAAACCCGCATACGTCCAACAATCAAAACAAAATGACTCCATCAATAAGCTTTCACCCCCGATGAGGCAGACCCTTGGAGACTAGTGATGCCCATTCGCGCGGTGGAATTCCCTCCGGCGACCATGCGTGCACAACTCTTTCCGGCAGTAGAGCTACGGCGGCACGATGGCACTGCCTAAAAGTGGTTGCCAGACCTCCGATGTATGCATATGCATACTTCCAGCGAGAGACAAAGGGTCATACAGCTTCCGTCGGCACGGAGCTGTTGTGAAACCCCACGCCCACCGCCCCCCCCATTCTTCCCTCCGCCCCCCCCCCTTCTTTAATTCATCCCAATTCCCATGTTGTCCGCCGTCGTGAGAATGCTCACTCCAAAACTACTATATCCGAGAAGCATATATTTAACGGACGAGAAACAAGAACCGAAGTAGTCTGTCTACTCGATTTCCAAAATGTGCGTCCCGAACGACATGTGGTAAAGGCCGGTCAAGACCTTGGTCAGCCCCGCGAAGACGAGGAGTCCTCCGAAAGCAAAGGTGGCGGTGTCTCCCGCGCCGTTCTTGCGGTACGTGGGGTTGTCCGCGCCTGGTTTCCATACACCCAACGGCATAAAGACGCGAAATGGTCGTACGTGTCGGGGGGCGGGGCGTGGGTCAATACAGGTCACCATGTATTTTCTGGTATTTTCATCGTCGCCAGCTCTACACTATTCTGCTGTCGCCTCTTTCTGCTTGCTCCATTGAAGTAAGAAGTCACATGACCCTTGGTGGAGCTCCGTGGCTACTTTCCACGGTCAATTTAATGCAAGCCGCGATTCGGTTTTCGGCTGGCCGAGTCCCCTTGCTCTCTCTCATCCACTCGGTAGCCTCCCTCGGACCGATGCATGAACAGAAAAGCATAAAAGCTCCTCCCCCAAATTCGAGTGGTAACATGCAATTCGCATCAGAGAGAACAATTGTGAAGAAAGTCTGAGGGCTCCAGGGATAACGTGCCTCCACTCTCAACAACCTTTCCGTACTGCCTCCAAGTCAGGCAAAAAAAGTGCCCCACCCCCCTCTGCCGGGGGACGTGTCGAAGGTGACATCACGTAAGATACCACGCTCCCTGGACCGATTTCAAAGCTTGATTGCTCTACGACGAAGAATAGGTATGCGTACATGAAACGATACTTTTTGGGAAGCTCCCGACGAGACGGCTTCAATATCGCCGCTTCCGGCGCTACCACTCTTCCTGCTCTGCTGTGGAGAACTCGAGCTTTGAAAATCGGCCCAGGGTGTGTGATACCATACATCATGTCACTACTTACGGTAGGCAACTCATCGACGCGGAAGCTACCCTATCGTAAGGAAGGAAGAGGCTTTGCGAGAATGCGGGCATATAAACTGCTGTAGGCACGATGGCACGATTCCAACTATCGCCACAGGAGCCGTTTGAAGCAGCATTCCACCGCCTACACAGATGCCCCGTTGGCCTATGTCTTGCTGCTCGATACGCATTTTCGACAATGCACACAAGACCGGGGGGGGGGGGGGCAGGGGATAGGACGGGAAGCAGCAACATGCACTAGCCTGGGCTCCCTCAGGTTTGCGGCCAGGGGTGGCCTGGATGCTAGTCCCCAGATAACCTAACTTTGTTTTTATCATCTACTACGAAGTAAAAAACAGCCATCGAATACCCGGGGATTTAGTCTACAAGGTACAAACCCCGTTCTCCCTTCCCTTTGCGTTGGAGGCCCGTCGACGCGAGAGGGGGGACGCCAAACCGACAGAATGAGCTGTGTAGGTGAACGTAAGCACGGGGCTACTTTGCCATTCAAACGGCCATGGGCAATACGACGATGTCACACGGATGATAAGAGGCTTGTGATACATCCACTAAGAAATATTGTCGTTACTTTTTTCAATTTTCCCTTCAGCTGTCGTATTCGCACGCGCAGGCATCGATTCGAGTGGGTCATGTTCGTAAACGACTCCGGTAACCCAGCTCTTGATACTCTGCTACTTCTACATAAAAAATCGGCGGTTTTAAACCGTGGGGACGGTTCAGTGAGGAGAAACAAATATGGGTCTTCCTGGCGCAACATGCATGTACCTTCCGGGGACGATACCCGGACAGCGAATACTAGTACGGACAGAAGAAGGTACTGGGCAGAGAGAACGGAACGGTTTTGAATGTGAAGCCAACAACAACAACAAACAACAAACAGGGTCCCATCCTGGGCCTGTCAACGTCGGGGAAGAACAAGCAAGATGCCAGTAAAATAGCCGAAAGACCAAGTCTTTGAATTTGAACATTGCTCAACGCATATATTATGCGTAAGACACCGCTCCACGATACTGTATGTTTCCAACGCCACAACTACCAGTACCGAAAATCTGCTGGCATTGCAGAGGTACGTACCGTATACGACACAAGAAACCACATCCCGGGGATAACATTTTGGCGTTTAAAAACAGTATCACTGGGTGTTGTATTCTGTGTGGGGGGGGGTGATATCTTATGTAGCCCGGGTGATACAGGGCGGCCGTTGGAGCCTTGAAGGGGGGGTGATATCCAGGGTGTCATACCCCTGCCACACACTTGCAGGGACCGAAAAGGGGTGTGGTAGCAAAGGGGTGTGATACCCAGAGGGTGTGATAACCATAGGTGTGATATTCACGGGATGTGATACCACTGCCGCACACTAGGGGCCGCCGAAGGAGTGTGGAAACGAAAGGGGTGTGCTGGCGCCTACAAAGAATTACCTACCGTGCCTGCTGCCGCACGTGTAGCGGGTGTGATATTACTGCCCGCAAGTAACTACCGTGCTCCCGCATTTGCAGGGTATTGGTACGTGTGCTACGTGGGCAGGGGTGATAACCGGGGACGAGATACACCTTCTCATCACATGATCCCGGTGATGAACGCCAACAGCGCCCTCATCAACTACAGCGAATGTGTTCCCATGCAACAAAAACATATTTTATCACTACCGCCTGGCACCATAGAGAATATGCCGAGAAGGCGGGGAAGAAAAAAAGCTGAATTGCATGCATTTAAGAACCCACGATCAATGCGCCGCGAGGCGGAAGCTCAAGCTTCCATTCATTACCCCTCGCCCCGGGTCTAACCGCTAAGTAAGGAAGAAGGACAGCATCGCTGGGCTTCTGTCCCCCTCGTCCTCGTCGGAGGCTTGATTGGTGCGCATGGACTCTTCTGCATCATCAGCACCTTCGTGTGCTGCTGAGAGTAGCTCAGCAGCAGGCTGCTGAGCCAGCGTGGTGGCTGCCCCATTTGGCGCTCACTGCTGTGCCAGCTTTCTCAGCCGCAGCTACAGAATCGGCAGCAGGAGCAGCGAGAGGAGCCGCAGGTGTAGACCCTTGCTCGCGTTGACGGAAGGAGGTTATCGGGCGAGCCACTGCTGCGGTCGAAACAGCTGCCGAACGAGCAGATACAGCTGCAGTGGGATTCTGCTCTCCCTACAAGTTCATGCCACTGGAGGTCTCCATCCGGGGCGGTTGCCCCGTACCCAGAGGGTGTGTTGGGTGTGTTCCCTGTTGAGCCATCCTGTGGGTGACCAGCGACCACTGGTGCTTGTTCATCACCGGGGTGATATTAGTGGGGGCTCCGTGATTACATGCGGCCTAACTCAGGGTGTGTGTTATCTTATGTAACCCGGGTGGTATTTTGGCTCTTCGTTTGAGATCCAAAAATATTAGTACCGGGTGTGGTATTCTGTGGGGGGTGTCTTATCTTATGTGGGTGTGATATCTTGTGTCGTATTACGGTATGTACGTATGTACATTGACGCTCAGACGAAGTGTGCGTGCTCCCGGTACTGTTTTTTTTTTCTCCCATCATTGGATTCTGTCGTCTGCCCCTCTGGCCCCTATCCTCCACTCCTACTAGCTAGACGACCCAACCGGGGTCACATAGGAGGGGGGGGTTAGACCCCCTCCTGCGGTTCCTGCCTGAGATATTTTTATCGCGAGAAGGTACAGCAATCCCTTCCCTCGCGACTTATTGTTGTTGTTGTTGTTGTTGTTGTCTTCACATTAAAAACCGTTCCGATCTTTCTCTACCCAGTACCTTCGTATGTCCGTACTGATCCAACACTCGACGCGGTCGATTCCCGTGGTCACAGGTTAACTTACCCTAAAAAGGTACACTCACATAAACCGGCCCCGAGGGGTCCACAAGTCAATAGAAATCAACGACAGATATTCTGGAGTCCTCCAGTCCCTCTGCGCGCTATGCGAGGTATCAACTGAGACTAGGAGTCACTATCACGGGCCGGAGAGAAAGAGGTACACCCCCTTGGTTCGATCTTGGTGCTTCACAACGCAAGCAGAGACAAGGCCATGTGGCACAGAAAAAGAGAGAAAAAAATGAAGTCGATCGAGTTTACTAACATAACAACGAGCTTCGCAGCGTGTCTATTTCAACTTAGACCAGGATTTGTTTAGTGAGGAAAAAACTCCCTTTGCCGGGACTCGAACCCATAACATGGCCCTTACTAGGCTGCGAGGTTATCCACTAGACCACCGGGGCGACCGGTACTACTCTGTACCCTACCGTCCCATCCATCGACACATGGACACCATGGGGGCGTGGGTTCAGGTTTTCGTGCATCTCACTGAAAATCACTGAGAGCTTGTAGGAACACCCTTGTTTCCGACTGCTGTTGTTGTCTCGCCAAGCGAATCACTCCAACGGCCACATCAACATTGACATTGATTGATCAAAAACCAACCAAGGAGGGCAAGCCGGAATTGTGACGACGGTAGACTAGACTGCAGAGTATGTACAATAGACACAGGGAACTCCGGCTCTGTGGGAAGAGGCCTGGACGGGATGACTGACTTGTGCGTAACGTTGCACACTTGACATAGGTACATCGTCGTGTCCCAAGCAAACGAAGGACGCGCGTATGAGGCACCCCACCTACTGGCTAGGAAAGCAATCCCTCTCGCGCTACTCCAAGACGTGTCTTTGTTCTTGACACCTCTCCCTTTGTCACGACACCTTATCGCTGGGGCCGGCGCGCAACACAGCAGTGTGTCTGTCATCACTCACCGTGAAGGTGAGGGTTCGCCTGGAAGATTTTCCGCGCCTCCTCGATGCGTGCCTGTCCGTCACTCATGGCCCTGCGTTGGGCCGTCTGCACAGGCCTCGCTGCGGCCGCAGCCACTCGCTTAGCTCCAATTCTCAACGCAGTAGACATAGCCCTTAGTGTGTTTAGTTGCCGCGACGAAACTGTGTTGCGAGGAGGGACGAGGGACGAGGGCCTGGGCACTTTACGTACGTCCTGAAAGGTTTCCACAACCAAATGAGGCGTTCTTTCTGCCTCCCGCGCGCGCGCCAATTCTCGCACACCCGCGGCAGGACAAACAAAGTCGCTGCCTCTGCCTGAGAGAGATTAAAAGAATCCAAGCATCCTCCTCATCCGCCACTTCCGTGATCAGATCGAAAAGCTCGTTATCGCTACACCGAGGCTTCCGTGAAAACCGCAGAAACAACAAGCATTACGCGCATATCCAGGTGGGAAGAGACCCAGAGAGTGCACAGGGCAGCTGTCTTCACCTCCGTCTGTAGCTATTGCAAGCAGGCGCTTTCGCATGGGACTCAGACGCCACTAGCTGGCAGGGATGGGTGCGCAGAGCACCGGCATGTCTCGGAGGGTTCTAGTATCTCGTTGTGGTGGCGGTGCCACCAATTGCATTCGTGTTGTTTCCTTCGGCAGGGCAGCGACCTCCACAAGCCTTCCCCAAGCAGACGGCGGCGATTGATTGCCGCTTTCCTTTTTTCCACATAAATTTCAGTATACAAAAAAGTGGTCACATTGGCAAAACACCCATGATATCCCATGTACTGACCACCTGCCCCGTCATCATCTCCTTGTGGGCCGGCTGGTCTACAACTTACACTGCTGCGCTCCCCTCCTGCTGCAGATAGTCTCGAAAAGAAGAGAGCGAGCAGAGAGACGGAGAGCGCGCGAGAGAGAGAGCGCGAGAGAGACCGAGAGAGGTGACGCTCAATCGAGGGGGGAAAAAAGAGGGGACGAAAAAAAAAAGCGGGCTGCCGCCGCAAGGAAACGCGTGTCCGCTGCTGTATTTTCTGCCATCAACATTTGCTGCTTCAACCACAGACCAAACTTAGGGGAGAGACTGGGAGAGGAGACCGTTGGTACGAGGGCATAGAAGCCACAGAGAGGAACATCAAGTGGGGAAAAGGCAAGATCGTCAGCTTCGCTCGCTGCGTCTGATCCCTCTTGTTGAATCGGGCCTCGCCTAACGCAGTAGAACCAATTATCCTCTCTCTTTCTACAATATATAGTCGTTGTGAGTTTGTCTGAAAGCACCACACAACGAGAGAGAGCAAAATTGAACGAAGCCATAGGCGGATTCTAGGTTTAGGGTGTGCCTTTTGACCTCTCTTCCTGCCGCGTGCCTTCTTGGGAGAGGGTTATATTTATACATATTCGAAGTTTATTTATTTTCGTGTAGGACGCGTTTTCGTTGTTAGCTGTTGGTGGTGTGAGATTTAATTTACTGCACGTTTTACTTCGTTGTTGTCACGTGTCTAGAGACTGACTGATAGAGAGAGAGCCGCCTCTTTTGTGGCAGAAAAGCTTTTGATTGTGGTGGCGGGGGGATCCAACACATTGGGGAAGGAGACGGAGATTCTCGTTGGGGTGGCCGTGCGTTGAGCTAGGTTTAACCACCATACCAGGGGGGGGGGGAGTAGAAGCGTTAAGCAAAAGGGCCGTGTTTGACTTTTTCCTCGACGCAAAAGGCTTCACGAAACAAACGAGTCGGTTGTTCCAGCAGCGGGGGGCAAAGTAGCAAGAAAAGAGGCGGCTTTCATCGCAGCCCTACGAGATACAGCAGGAACAAGACGGAACCCAGGCACAGCATTCAAACGATGAGCGCCCCACAAGCCAGCAACAATGGAGGCGCGGCCGCCAGGCCTCCGCCCCCCCCCCC